ATAAACTAAATTAATATAAAAGTTATATCGTACAAGTTAGGCAACTAACTGTTTTAACATTTACCCACAGGTATACCAATGGTGTTAATTAATAAATCAGTGTATAATATTTGGCATAGATGGAAGGAGTTTTCATGGACCCTGGTTCGTGTACATGTAACAAAAAGGGGAGGGATATATGATATTTATATATATACAGGATGTCTTCAATTTTTAATTAAAAAAAAAGAGGTTTAAAAAATTTTCACAAATAAAAGGTTTTTTTTCCAACACCCTGTAAAAATACACATATATAGATAAATGACTAGAGTAGCATTTATAATAAAGTACCTATATACAATTATGTACTAAATTAAGGTAGATATGGACGATTAATAGATAGCTAAGTGAGATTTGACAAGCAAATTTGGTGAAAATAAATCAAATGAATCGAATGTCGTGATCGACTTTACAGCATTGTCCACTAATTTTGCTTCCTAGACATAACTGTTATTAATTTGAAATTCAAAAATATTAAGTGGAATAAATAAAATTTGAAATCGTCACTAAAGGCAGATTACCCTGAGAAAAACGAGTTAGAAACTCTATGGATTGTTCTTGGTAGATAGATATTTTGTACACATTTATCACTTAACGTAATTTGTTTAAAATGTTTTATTTCAATGGCGAATGTTTGAATATCAACCGGAACCACACTATAGAAGCGTATGCATTGGCTATTAAATGAATTATCGACTTTGTGAAGACACCTGTCTAGAAGAGCTAGTTTATTTTTATTCCACTTATTGTTATTACGTCTAAACACTATTTTTCATGATAAAAATACTATTCTTCGTCACAAATGTAGTATTTTTGAAGCAGGAGAGCTCTTTGTCCAGGGGAGTACTAACAGTTTACATTACCGCCAAGTAGAAATGCCTTACTGCGTTCCTGTTCTGAAGGATGATGGTGACATTATAGGCGATCGGGACTTGGCAAGTTATGCCTCAATGTGATGGGCGCATTGGCAGTATCCATCAGAGCTTTGCTATTTAAAGTATTAAGTTGCACTGCACCTGTTATGAACAGGCGCGACGAAATACCAGGCACACGACTTGTCCGTCCCGTCATTTGGAATCATAAAAAAAGAAAGTTAATTTTTTTAAGTGTTAATTTTTATCAAGTGTCACTTAGCCCTTTTTATCTTTCAATCGTCAATATGATATTGTATGTAAACATTAAGAAATAACAAATACTTTATAATCACTATGCGTCACATTGACCTTTTCACCTGGCTATGTCGAAAAAAAAAGAAAACCATACAAATATATATGACAAATACATTATAATTTTTTTTATTCAAAGTAAATATATTTTTTGAATGAATTTGTAAATGAAAAATGTTTTTTCACATAGAAATCGCATTTACATTTGTTTTTTCAAAGAAACTAACGTTTCGGACTATTTACAGATCCCATAATCACAATTGAGCCAGTCCCATTTTTATCTGTTTCAGTTTTGTTTATGGTGCCTCTCCCTACCAATCTCTTGGTTGCACGGGAAGGGCACTTATTACCTGCACAAGCAAGCCCGCACAGGAACCTTATCAGACAAGTCCTGAGCCCAGATCAACCATATTATACAGACTGCATCCGGTGATCAAAAGCCTAAGGTGCGGCCCTGGGTGAACGACCCCGGGTGCACGTGCAACACCCTCCCTATTGTCGTGATAGGTGTTCGAGTTGTTGTCGCAGTTGGGTCAGTCCAATTTCATTTCCAAAGTGTCATGTACAATGTCCACATTGGGATGCCCGTAAGGAACCTCCACGCATTCTTCGTCCATTATAGCAAAACTCAAGTTAAACTGGTCATGAAGTGAAACAATTTTTTCGAATTCGGGCTGGCCAATCGGAGCGCAGTTGTCACAGTAATGATGTGGATGAATAGTTTTCAAACAAATTAAATGACACTACACCTCTATGTCTGGTTATATACTTGATGGATAAGAAAAAGTCAGCATTCAACTCAGCTGGCCACACTGGATTCACTAGAAAAGTTTGTTAATAGGTTTAAAAGTGACTGGGATTTAGTAGAGGCAAGCTGCAGAACCTTGAACACCGTTAAAGTTGCCTGCTTCTCAGTATTCTACACGAATATCACGGAGAGTGTGCGATGGAATTGGATTATTTAATTCCGCCTTTCCCATGCCTTCATCGTGGGACTAGACGTAGGCAAGAGTTCTAAGCCTCTGTTGTGGATATTCCAAAGATTTCACATTTACATGGCGAATGACAAAGGAGGGGAATACCCTGCCTGCAGACTTGTTCCCCGAACGCTATAACTTGGGCCTTTTCAAGGCGAGAGTGAACAGGCACTATTTAAGTGTGCATGATATATCGTCAACCTCATAGTCGCTTTCCGTAAGGTCAGATGAAGGTCAAATGCGCATTTACTATTTATATGATGGTTAGCATAAGATGTTTCTTTAAATTTCAATATTTTATTTCATTTGTAAAAATAGTCCACTAGTATGTTATTATTATTGACACCACAGATCACATACAGTGATTGATGCAAAGATCGAACAACACTAAAAATCCTTCGATCTGATTGCATGAACCTGCGTCCATGGCCACACGGGGCCACCGCTGTTAGCTCAGTTGAGCGGTGGCCTGCCCGATTGCCTGAGGGTTCTGGTGCGAATACAGCCAGACTGAATCAATTTTTCCAAGTGTGCGATCTTTGTTATCAATAATAATTATAAGAAACAAAAAGAAAATAGTCATGGTATTAAAATATCTTGACATTTTATTAACTTAAAAATTACAATTATAGCGACATCTGCAGTCGGTAATAGTAACGGTACAGGTACCTTTCTGAGTGAAGAAATATATTTCTCACAGATGGTGTTACGGCAAAAAGTCAGTTAAACAAAAGATCTGCAAGAAGCACGAAGAAACATTCGTAAGGTCTTTTGGTTGGTTCTGTGGCTTAATTGACATAGCGTGTGATACGGGGTTTGCTGGAAGACGTTGGTTCGAATGCAGGGTTTTTTCTGACACGGATTGCCTGAGAGTGCTGGTTCGAATGCAGCCGGATCGAATGAATTTTTCGAATTAAGTGTTTGATCTTTGTTATTAATAATTATAACTATAAACTGCCTCCGTGGCCGAACGGTTACCATGCCGGACTGCCACGCAGAGGTCACAGGTTCGATTCCCGGGCCGGGAGAAATATTTGTATGGCCTACATTTATTTCTCTCGTGAGTTTGGGTGTAATTTGTGGTTGTCTATGTGTGTGTCCATGGCACCCGCGACACAGGGTTTCCCTAGTGCAGGGCTATGTTGATTGTGAGCGTTGTGAGCGATTGTGAACAGACAGCTGGTTCCAGCCCAGTCCGAGCGAAGGAATTTTTCGTTCAGAAGTTAGGTCTTTGTAACAATAATAGTATTATATATATGTCAGACGTAACCATGAGAGCTGTAAAGGGCCCGAAACGTTGGTTCGTTAGAAAAAACAAATATACGCGATTTAAATTCCGAAAAATATTTTCATTTCAATGTGTAGCAATAGCATTAATTAAAGAACTCGACACGAATATATATTTTGAATGGCTGACGATGTTACACGATTTCACTATGATTAATTATGAATGACATCACAATTTCAATTTATATTTACATTGTAATAAAGAGGAAATGGTCCAATTACAGCTATTACACGTTTATATCCTACAGCTTAACCTACACGTTTAATATAATTTATGTTAAATATTGATGATACGTGTCATTGCCAGATGTCGGATTAGGCAGCGTATATTTGCCTATACTTCAAGGATCTAATATATATATAGAGTAGGTAATACTTCCCTCTGAAATCTGGGAACGATTGCATCGTATATTTTTGATGTGAAATCAGCGATTCGCTACGATAGTGCACGGCATGAGCCAACGTCATAATTATCATTGATGATACTTATCTTGATATATATTTATATATATATCTTGAAAATTATATTGATATTAAATTTATAAAATTTATTGGAACAACAAAATGCTACCGCTAGTGATGTTGTGTCATGCGTTTGTATCAGAGACGTATTCAAACGTGTCAAATGTCTTTCTCAAAAAAGAGACAAACCAAATTGTTTTCTCAAGGATTTTTCTTTGCGTTTATTTAGTTTTCTCACTATTAGAGACAAATCATCACATCTAATAAATATTTTAATAATTTAGAACCACGTTTTGAAAAAAAGTTTTGTAATTAAAAATGTAAGTATTTTGTTTTGATTTTTTGTTTTTGAGGTATCATTTGCTCTATTTGTATTTCTTGAAGTTTAGGTAAATATATAATCACTTTAGTCCGATCTCTGAACGTTACGATTGAACAGGGCGTCACAGCGTACATTGTTCTTTTTTATTATGCTGATATCCTTTACTGTTCAGTTCATGAAACCAAAAATAATTTACAACAAAGATACTTTTGAATCACCAAAAGAGCTATTCAACGCACGCAAAGCCGCTAAGAGCTAAGCACGTAAAGAGCTATTCAACGCATCGTGTGGCAACACTCGTACTTAAAAGTAGGTAGTTAAGTAACGTTGCTAGGAATAACTTCCATGATCTTGCTGTTGGCGCTGTCTTGTGACGCCCTTCACTTTTAGTTAAAACGTTGAGTCAAATTATCCTTATGATTAAATTCTCTCAAAGTTGGCACATAATGATTATTTTATAATATAAGCTAATAAAATAAATATAATGATTTCCCTGGGAATTTAACCTATTCATAACAATTTTATTTGTAATACGTAAAAACATAAAATTCACAATCCTGCATGCTCCGTGACATTTTTTTTCGTTTCATATAAATAAAATAACACTAAACACAAATTACACCAAAAAAGATTACTACAGAACACAATGTTATTCCCCTGTCCAGACGTTCCCCTATCCACATATTCCCCTGTCAACAAAGTCAATAAACTTCCCGTTTAAACAAACACGGGTCCGTCATTCTCCACTCACAGCACCAGTAAGTTCTCACAGTTTTTGAACTTCGAATCTTCTTTACCGAAAATCCAGGAGAACATTTGCCTCGCCTTCATACTCGCTCGCACTACACCACGAGACTTGTACCAATGGGCTGGTGATGATTCCCTTCCTCCTTCTGCGGAGTACTGCTGTCTCTTTAGTCGGATCTGTTTGAGGATCCCGACGAGCAGCTCGTTGACATTGTGGTTGATGCCAACTGAGATTTCGATGAACTTGGCTTTGTACGTGCAGGCCAGACATTTGCCATCTGTGAAGAGGAAACATGAAATTAATTAATTGTTCTGTTTAGTAATTTTGCTATGGAAATAGGTAGAAAATTATTAGGGATTATTATAAACCGGGACACATCATTCGAGCTTCCTTGCATTTTCAATATAAAATGCTCTAAGTTTAAAAAAATGTTATATAAATCAAAAACTATTAATGCCACTTGGAAGCTAAACATCATTTCCGTATATCCTGGTTAAAAATTTTAATTTGCTAAACTTAAAAATATTGGAGGCTACAGCGAATTGGTTGTGCAAATCACATACAATTTTTGCTATTGCTATTTGTGCTAAATGGATGCTATTTTCGTGTAAA